TCGCGCAGTCGGCCGGCAGGTGCCGGCTCTGCAGCCCTGGCCCGTGGCGCTTTCAGCGGTTGCCCGGCCGGCTCCGCGCGGTCCTAACGCGCTCCATATCCGGCACCCTCTACCCGGCTGGTGCGCCCTGCGTTGCTGTGGAGACTCAGTACAGACTCATTTCTGGGGGCCACGGGCGGTGGCTTCACACCTATGGCAGCATTTGGGTAACCAGGTTTTTTGGCCCAGGTTGAGCCCCTTCGTTTCTTTGTGTGTATGGTCTGCGGGACTGACAGCCGCCGCCCCGCTGCGCGGTGGTTTTCGGTGTGGGAACCGCTGGAGGCGCGCGCCGCGGCGGGAGACTTGGTGCGGGGACTGAGGGCCACCTGGATATCGGAACCTGACACCTCGTTCTGTCCCGGACCTTTCTTCCTCTATCGGAAGCTCACAGGCGGGGCTCCGAGGCGCCCGGGAGGTGGGTCGGGGCTCGGGCCCTGCAAGTCAGGAGCGCCGGGGAAGGATGGGGTGAGGGGGTGGGGATGAGGCCAAAGGCCTGGTGGAACGATGGCAAGCTATTGTTAACCGCTTCCCGGAGCCCAGCTTCTGGCCTGCGGTCCGCGGCCGGCTTTCCAGCGCTGGGTGGGCCGACTTCTCAGCGCGGAGAGCCTACAGCGCCGTAGGTTGGGGCAGGGCAGGGTCGGCCCGGTGGCATTGTGTGTACTGGAAGAGCCTGGTCTTTGAGGGACCCTCGGAACCCCCGTGCAGCACTACTGGACCCGGCATAGAGAGATTATGGGATGTGCTAGTGGGGCTCCCCCACACCCCAAGCTTATTATTTTAGTGTAGTCACTTTTAGGGTAGGACGTTTGCTACATGCAGTTGAGTCATTAGAAATCCAGTAATTGCCACTGGGAGAGTAGGATGCAAGGGAGGTAAGGTGGGGACTACGAGGGTGGAGAGGACCCCAGAGGCGCATTGTGGCGTTAGCGGACAAGGACTGCTGGTACAGCGGCTGAATAAAGATCATAAAATAACAAAGTAGTCCTCGGCACTCCCCCTGCTCCCCCCATCCTGCAGGTGACATCTCTGCTGTTTAGATTCGCTAGGCACTGTTGGCCTGGTTCGCAGGGATATTGTATGTGGGAGGGCGGGGTGTGGGGGGCGAGGGGCTGGGAGCTATATAATCAGCGAGAGCCGGCAGAGGGGGAAGGGTGTGCCTGGCACTCTCTGCGGTGTTGCTCTCCGGGGCTTGGATGGAGTTGAGTGGGTGGCTGTGCGCAACGGGGGTGGGGAACAAGAGCTATATAAGTATTTCATCCGGTTGTAGTGAGAAAGGCTGTGGGGTTGTCAGCAGTGCCGCGGTCTCCTGCCGCTACCGCTGCGGCAGGTCCCAATATTAGCAACCTCTGCAGCTTGGTAAGCGAGCCTCCTGCCTCCTACTCTCGCTGCGCAGCCGCGCCCAGAAGAGACCTGCGCGGGGTGGGCGGGGGCTGCGGCAGCGTGTCACACCAGGCACAGGGCTCCCACCTCTATGCTCCCTCTCTGGGGACAGCATTCTTTACCCTCAGTGTCTTCTCCCATTCTCTAGGAAAGAGCGTTCAGTGGGGCAGGGATGGGCTGGTTTATACCTTGATATATATATAAAAGATGCATCTTCCACCTGGAATGAACCACCAGGAGGAAAGTGACCTCTCTTCCCCACCTGCAGGTGACTGCGGCTTTGGGGGAGCCTGGCGTTGACCCAGCAGGCAGTGGGGGCGGGGAGCGTTGCAGCGGTGACAGCTTAGGTGGGACCTTGAGAGGGCCCTGTGCTTTTTCCCTTTGGGGGCGGTGGTGCAGCGATAAAGAATTGGGAATTGTGCCTCTGGGGTATAGGCTAGGGGAGCCAGACGTTTCATTTCCTGTTTTATCCCCCTCTTTAAAGCACTTATTAGGCAGAAAAAAGCGAACAGAATGTCAATTGAGAAAATGCTCCTGTAGAAGAATAAAAAAGTGAGTGCTGGGCCTGATCTTCTATTTTACTTGCACAGGGAAGAAAGCCTGAGCAGTTGACCCTGGCTTTGGTGGACAGATGGCCTGCTTCTTTTGGCTGTGCCTTGTGGCCTGGTGTGTTGGCCCTTCAAGAACCCCAAATGAGCACCCTAACTGGGGCTGCACTTTAAAGGGGCCAGGAGTCAGGTGGAAGTTGTACTAAAGGGGAGAAATAGGGTAGGATGAGTTTTTAAAAAAAGAGGTTAAAGCAATCTCATTAAAAATACCTCACTAAGGGAAAGACCGCCTATTTAAGAAACTGTTTAGGACTGGTCCAGATTTTTGAAAAATTGGTGGAGTTATAACTGCCATTTAGGTAGTCATTTCTTTTTAAAAAATCTATATTTTATTGATTTTAGAAAGGAAGGGAGAGGGAGAGGTAGAAACATCAATGATGAGAGAATCATTGATTGGCTGCCTCCTGCATGCTCCCTACTATGGCTGGAGTTTGCAACCCCAGGCATGTGCCCTGACAGGGGTATTGAATTGTGATCTCCGGGTTCATATGTCAATGCTCAACCATTGAGCCATGCCCGGCTGGGCTCAAGTAGTCATTTCTTAAGTAACTCTGAGATTTGCTCAAGTTGCTGCTAACTAGACTTTCTGAGATGCAGGCCCTGATATAAATGACTGGGTGGCCCTCATATGGGGTTGCTGGCTAAGCAGGGAACTCGCTATAGTAGGGAGGTTAATCTGTTTTCAGAGCCTCATGTCATGCCTCTCTCCAAAGCCTGCATACATTCTTGTCCTCTGAAGAATGCAGCTCTGTTAAGTATTGGGGGCTTTTAGACTAGAGGACTGTTTAACCTAGGCCAGAGTAGAGCAGCCTCTGTCCACCATAACACTTTCCAGGGTTGGCCTTGTTATGGCGTTGGAGGTGAGGCACAATATAGGGGGCTCTTGGGAGCTAGGCCACCTTTGTGTTAATTGTCCTTTTGAACAGAGCTCTGGGGCTGATCAGTTACCTTCTGAGTCTGGAGTGAGGATGAAGTTTTGGTGTGGTCTTTTTTTCTAAAGTAGTCCCTGGAACTGACCTTGCCTCTTATGCACCAGGGGTGACCTCAGACAGCATAAGACCCTCTAGAACCCAGTGAGCTCATCCTCATTGGGAACTGTTGGTTGCTGTGAAAGGGAATGCCAAATGAAACTAGCCATGATCTTGTGTTTCCCATGTACCTCCATCAATATCCATTACTTGAGGATGTCTAGGGTGTGTCTGTTAAAGAAGAGAGATAGGCCACCATGGTGCACAAATGATGGCAGTTTTTAAGTGCAATCTCATTCCTCCCTCCCTCCCTTTCTTCTTCTTTTCCTTGCTCTTTTTTTTCCTCCTCTCCCATTGATCATTAAGCATTTAAATGTTCCTACACAGAAGCCTTCTCCTGGGCCTCCTTTGTGCTGAACATCTGTATAAACAAATAATGGAGAGTGGGCCTTACTCAAATGAGGACAGTTGGAAGCATGTGCTTGGCT